GTTAAACATTCCCTAACTATTCGGTTGGACTTTGGACTATACAAAACTTACCTTCTCCTGATGAACTGTCTGACATTTGTGAAGTTAACTTAGATTAACCTTGACTTGAATTGTTTCAGAAAACACACAGTATAATTTGCTTTAAAATAGAAGAACACAGTGTGTAATTGTGACCCACCAAAGCAGGCGGGGCAAATAAATCACGTGACTTTTAAAAAAAGACAAGGTCACCACTTGTTTACATGATCAGCTGTTGGCTTGCTGAAAATGTTGGTTATTTTGCTTTAAGTTTTAAGTATTTTATTTCTGATTATAACAAAATAATATTGTAGTTTTTAATAAAGTATGTAGCATCGTTGTGTAAGCTATTTAACTGTAACTGTGGTTTATTAATTTAAAGCATAGGGGTTTTATCACAATCTATTCAACACGAAGGGGAACTTAGGAGGGTGGTTAACAGTTAATGAAAGGCGTTTATCATTTTCATTACGTGTAAGCCGACTTTAAAGGCTTACTTGTTATACGATCGACAATGAAAAAGACCGATATGAACTATACTAAAGGCTGACTGACAAATAGGCCGAAATGCAAAAGGTTGACGTGTAGCCTAGCCTAAAAGTTGAATACTTAAATTTTGAATTTTTAAAGTATTCAGGTGGTGTTAAGTGTTATGCTGCACAACAGCAACACAAGAATGAGTTCGATATTCACCCCAACGTTATGCAACAAAAATATTTTCACTAACGGGTCGCCAATAAACGACGCTACATTCCTAGAGTGGAGGTGAGGGGGGGGGGGTCAGGCCATTGTGACCTGATGTCATTATGGTCGAACCTTCATTGGTATTTTAAGTTATTAGATTTAAAATAGGCGTCTAAGATGGCGGTGTCTGTCAGTGTGTTTGTGGTTAACTAAAATTTTACCCATCTCCGGTGATAAAGTACATGTCTTGAGTCAACTTACTATTATGATAAATGTAAGCACTCTAACCGTCATGTGAGCCGACTGTTACGAATGTTACACATCCAAACACGAAAGACTTTTATCCGAAGGCCAATTTGCCGAATGGACACTTGCCGAATGCGACAAACGCCTGAATGGACACTTGCCGAATGCGACAAACGCCCGAATGGACACTTGCTCAAATACGACAAACGCCCGAAAAGACACTTGCCCGAATGCGACAAATGCCCATTCAAGTGTCCATTTGGGAAATCGGCCTTCGGACAAGTGTCTTTCGGGAATTTGTCGTAGAATAAAGCTAATTTATTGGCTTCGTTACCCACGTATCAATGTGTCTTTATGTTCAAAATGATATTCTAACATGTTTTTTTATAATAAACAAGGTAATTAAAAAGTCTAGTGACAATTTTAGCGCAATTTCCTTATGTTATCTAAAAAAAGCTCTGTCGTAGCGTAAATCAAGAGCAGGGTTAGTAAAACCATTGGTAAGTTATTAAAACGTTTTTTATTAATTTTTTTTTCAGTATTTTACATGTTTTATTTACAATAGAGTAACATGACTAAAAACCATTGCGCGCCTAGCTACCGAACGTGATGTCGCAGCCATTGAACGTGATGGCGCAGTTATTGAACGTGATGACGCGTGTGGTGTGGTTGGATAAAATGCCTACTAATTCGGTCCAAATTTTAATTAACTCAAAAACATTTTTGTGACCGAACGAAAGGATATTTTTGAAAACTTTCTTCGGCAATATTGTTCTAAATTATGGCAGGAATCGATTGGTACATGTTTCAAGTCGCTAAGTGGTCTGGTTGCCGAGATATGGGCAAAAAACTGCATTTTTTCGAGGTGTTTTGGCTTTTCCGGGAAATCCATGAAAGAAACCCGGAATTTTTTTGGCCTATGTTCATCCTGGTAACTTGCTTAACATATTTGCTTTTGGAACTAGTCCTCGATATTGCTTCGTTGAGGAGGAGATACGACTTAAAGCTGCGGACACACATCCATCCATCCATTCATCCATTCCCAGAAAAGCCGAGTTAATAAACGCAATTCTCCAGAATGGAAATTGCGCTAAAAAATAGTTAGCAATAGCAATAAAGTAGTAAAAAATGAAAGCACTAGTCGCTCTAATATTTTACACAACAGATCGACCCCAGTCCGCGTCTGTTTTGTTGCCAACAAATTGTTAAATTATTCTTAGTTAAATTAACTGTCATGGGATGGCATGATTGGACACTTCTCACCATCTCTGAGGTGTTAGCTAAATTACTATTATATGTCTAGTAATTATTTGTTTGAATATTTCTAGCCTTAGTTAAACCGGAAGTGGATTTTGTACTTATTTCACAAATGTTATAAAATATTCAATTTTGGTTGAAAAATATACTTTCTGGCAACAACCAAGTGGAACCATTTGGAACCAACTGTTCAAGCCTTATTTTGTATAGGACTGTATAGGATAATCCAGCTGGCTTACGTAGCGAATAATTTTCAGACTAAGCCACAACAAGATGAGACAAAGCATTTTTCGCAAAATAAAAGTTAGGGCAAGCGAGACATGCCTTTGCGATCACGGAAAATACAGCTCATGTTTTACACGACTACACCTGGTACTCTCTGAGAACAACGATAGGCTTACGTCAAGGTTGCTGAGTTGGAGATAGTTGTGCAGTTCGTCTGCAATGCCGAACTAGTGGTATGAACCTGCAATGTAAGACACACTAAAGAACGAAGAAGAAACTAGATTACACGGGGGGGGGGGGGGGGGCGACATAACGAACGTTAGACCTTTTGACAAAGACCCCAGTGTATAGACAGACTCTCAGAAAACTAATGCTATGTGTTAGCATGGACAACATTTTCTTGGTTCTTGATTTTCCAAAGCTAATTAAGGGAGCTAACCCAATCTAATTACACTATGTAATAACTCATTTTTCTAGTGGTTTACCTTTAGCAGATATTTAACACAACACATCTCAGGTCCGAAATGTTATTTCCTTTCTAACAAGAAGTGATCAGGACAGCAGGCCAAAACATCTTTCTAGAGCAGTGATTTGAGATTTAAATACACGTTCTTGATAATTCTCCTTCTAGGCCTCTACAAATAAGTGTGTTTTGTCTGTAACAGTAGGCCTAGTATGGAAGCCCACATCAACTATTTTTAAAGACATCTTTCAAAGTGTGAGGGTGACTTGACATCCGGGGGACACTTAAAACTTCCACTGGCGTATGGGGGATTTCGTTGTAGGGGTGCCAGCTTCTGGATATATATTTATACAATAATGAGTCGGAGACGCGTGATCGGATGGTATAGAGCTTTCGACCGCGAACACGAAAGTCTCGTCCATGAGTCCACAAAGCTCAACTTAAGTTAGAGAAACCAAGGTGGCTTGAACCTTTGTCTGGATTTGTCTGAGCAAATGGATTTTTTTGAGCTCAGTCTGGACTATACGCAGAGGCGTAGCGACGGGGGGGTGCGGACCGCAGCGGGTGACACCATTTAGGGGGTGACACCAAGGCAAAAAATAGCAAAATATATAGAGAAAATCTTGAGGGGGGGGTGCAAATCGAAAGTTTGAGGGGGGTGCAAATCGAAAGTTTGAGGGGGGGGGGGTGCAAATCGAAAATGTGTAAGTTTGTCCCCGGGAGGGAAGGGTCGCTACGCCTCTGGGGGTGACACCATTAAGTACCGCACCGGGTGACACCCGACCTCGCTACGCCACTGACTATACGTGCTGGTGATATTCATCACTTTTATTCCACATGCAACAGTATTATTTAAGATATGGTTGAATGTGCTCGCAGAAATAGGCGCCTTCTTTGGCCAACAATTTAAACACATGTGCACGCCGACCACAAGACAGGCGCCTTCGTTTACTAACAGCTTGACAGGCGACAACCTTGAGATAGGCGGTTCAATTTGCAAACAGTTACAAGAAGACACCAAGACAGACGCCTCAATTTCACTTTCATTAATTTAGTTATTAATCACTGAATGATCTTGCTTCTTTTAATTAAATTTTATTTCCCGTAATTACTTGTTCACAATCCTATTTAAAATGCTTGTTTTAATTACATTTTTTTGCCAAAGTTGCGCCACTGACACTATATTTTCTATTTCATTTTTTTTTTACTTTTCGTCCGGTGGGGCAATGATCATGCTGCTATTCAAGTTTGTTTTTGGTTTATTGTTAGCTGAAGGCTATTTAAATTATTTTTTTGTTGTTGATACAATCTTAAATATGGTCGCATGCCCCCTCCCCTTGCTCCCTACGCTCCGGCTTTCCCCTCTGTTCGATTCGCTAGATCAGAGGCGTAGCGAAGGGGGGGGGTGTACACATGTCCCCAGGCGCCGACCTTAGGGGCGCCAAAATGGGTTATAAAAACAAATTAAAATCTCATTTTAGCTGCATTTTTTTCATTATAACTATAAAAAAAACATATGGAGAGGGGTGGGGGGGGGTGCAAATGGAAAGTTTGAAGGGGAGGGGTGCAAATAAAAAATTGAAAGGTTGCTCCCGTGGGGGCGCCAACTTGAAAGTTTGTCCCCGGGCGCCGGGAATGGTAGCTACGCCTCTGCGCTATATATAGATAGAACATTTGTTTTTCGTTATGGTGATGACTTGCGTGCGGGTCGTAGCGGACGATTTTTACCTCAGACTTACAAAAAAAAAAAACGAATATTAATACAATATAGTTGCTGCAAAATATTTTTAAAACAAATAGGGATATTTGAAAAAAGTTGTAACAATCCTCCCTTCTTTCCTGCTCATGACCCTACACATCTTCATTAGACACCCCTGTGTGCTAAACTAAGCCTGTACTGTAAGTGCCAATGTGCTAGTGGTTTTTAAAGGCAACTTAATCGGAAACTGAAAATATTTTTTTGAAATGTGTTGTAACATTAATGCTGTGATAAAGCATTAAACCACGACCGGTAAAGGCCTGAAAGTAAAATAACAATGTAGATTAGAATCACAACTTTCAGTTCCAGTCATTTGGAATATCCTATTTGATTCAGTTGTAATTTTTTATTTCATGACGTCATGGTTTGTAAAAATGGCGGATCGTAGTGAGTATCGACGACACTCAGACGCAAAATCAAAGTCTAGGTAAAACTTAATTGTTCTCATAGATTTGATATTTTATTGCGATTAATTAGTAAAATATATAAACCCGCTTTAAAATGTTATTTCCTTTTCTTAACTGTTGTATTTTTAGTGTACATAAGTCGATTTTTCAAAACAACTGTACTATATTACCTAATTTCGATAATTAAAAAAAAATTGCTGTACAATTGTACAAAGTAAAGTTAAGGCCAGTAGGCCTAAATTTAAATGGTTAACTGTTGGAAAAATCTAGATTTTAAATAATAGGCCTAGTATTAAGTTTATTGTAGATCTAGATCTATGTATAATTTTGTCTCAAACTTCAGTATATTAGAAATAAAAACAGCTATTTGACTCTGTGACAGTACAACTGGTGAAGTCTGGTAACTGACTGAAGACACTGAAGTTATTGTGAAACCCTTTTCGGATGATTATATAATATACTGGTGTCCGGTGTCTTTAAAAAGGGGGTGTTGGGTTGTTTGTAGTATTGTAATCTCGACTAATTTTATGGTTAGAAATTAGGGTTAGGCGTATGGTAGGACCAGGGTTGGGGTTAGGGTTAGGGACAGGGTTAGCATTGACATTAGCCAGCCATGTGTGTATTTAGTTAACCACCAGTAACCTAACATCCCTTTTTTTTAAGAAGATTCCATTTTCGGACACCGGTGTAAACATTCTCCCCACTTTTTGATTCAATATGTTAAAAACCTTTTATTCTGTTCTTTGAGAAATAGGTCTGGTTTACACACTTAACTATTATGACCAGGTTGAATATAATGCCCAAATGGAGAAAGAGGAGTGGTTCGTTAAAATAATTAAAATCAAGTTAATTTATAATAAGGCAGATTCTAATCGGAAAAAGATATGCATGCACATTGGAGAGAAACTACCGCCTTCCTTCGCGGCAATATTTTCTATGGTACTGCGCATGCGTGTGTTTGCAAACAAACAGCAAGACCCTAATCCTAGTCATTTTGTTATAATAATTAGGCCTAAGTGCACACCCAATTCTGTTATCAGTTATTATTTCATGCAAATATATGACAGAATAATATCTCACAATAACAATAGCATTTATCATGACTGGGTAATGAGGTATAGATTACGAGAACAGTGCTATTTTTTGTTTTATTTTTATAAGAAAAAGGATTAGGGCCTATGGTTTAAGTTTTATATATCTGTTATGTAGCCTAAATAAACTATACACTACACTCTAAAGTTAAAGTGATTAATTAGCCTTAATAGTAATTTGTTAATTGAGACATGTAACAATTAATAATTATGTATCACTTTGTTGTGATCCTATTCAACTGCCCATTAGGCCTACCACTTTTAAATGTAAATAAACAAAATAAATATTATGTGGGTTAATATATTATGAGTCGACCTTAGTATCCATATGCAGGTATACTTGTATGGTTTAAAAGGGTTTAATGCTGCTACTTAATTTATTAACTTTATCAGTCACCATATTGAAAATCTACATAGATATTTAATGTTCTGTTTTTGTTTATTACAGAGATGAAATTATCAGTCAGAAGCGTGATAAAAAGAAGCGGAAACATAAGCATAAGCATAAAAATAAGCATAAACATAGCAGTGGGGACAGGTCCAAAAAACACAAAAAGAAGTACCACAGCTCTTCAGAAAGTGACATAGAAGAAATGGTGCAATCAAAAAAGCAAAAACTGAATCATGAAGATCTGGAATTGGAAAGACTGGAAGCTGCTCGTAAGGCTCTCACAGCAGAACTTATTGGAAGAGATGGAGATGATGCATTAAGAGCAATCAATCTCATTGCAAAGGTATTCACTTATTTTGTTTAGCACTAAAAATTGTGTTGAGAGTTATTTTTTATAAAGGGCTTTCTTTATAATTAAAATTATTTGCAATTCTGTGAGAATAATATTTTATTGTATTTTATTACATAATTTTACTTGGCATAATGTTCCATTTTATATTTAGTGGACACAAGCTTATTAACTAGCATATCAACTACTGACATAGAAAATGAGTTAACTGTTTAACTATAATTTTTTTAACCACATTCAGGGCTATAATTCAGATAATTTTTTAACCACATGCAGGGCTATAATTCAGATAATTTTTTTTAACCACATTCAAAGCTATAATTCAGATAATTTTTTAACCAAATTCAGGGCTATAATTCAGACTCAGAGGAGGAGGAAGGGGAAGTAGAACATGAATCGACTAAAGAAGAGCTCAGAAAAGCAAGGGAAGTCTTAGCAAGGATGGATTCTCAGTCAGCCAACATGGGTAATTCTGGATCTCTGACAGGAAAAGACAACAACCACAGTCATCATCGTGAGTTCACAGAGTTTGAAGATTTCAGGATTTACAAACCTAGAGAAGAAATAGAAGATGATGATAGACATAGGAACAGTTTAGAAAATAAATCAAACGATAGGCACATTTCAAAATCATTAGATCATCATGGAACACCTGAAATAGATTCAACAGAGCTTTTAGATGAAGGTTTAGAGCTATTGGACAGTGTAGGTATCCCCACCTCAGCCGCCACTTCTTCAGCAAATAAATTGACACCTTCATTGGCAGCTAGACTAGGCCCTGAAGTTAGTTCAGTCCGGGCTAAAGTTCAAAGCCTTGTTCAGTCAAAGAAAACAGCAGAAAAGGAGATGGCACCATCTGCCAAGCCTGAGCAGCAGCGTAAAATACGAGAAGAAAAAGAAAACAGGGTGGTGGAGATACTGGACAGTGATCAAGAAGAGGGTGAGACCAGAGATGAAGATGAAGTCATTCAAATTGATGATGATGATGTCATAGAAATACGTAAACATAGTAAGCAGCGTCGGAAATCAGGGAACCAACTTGATCCTGATATTTCTATAGTAGAAGAAAAGTCCCATGGTCCATCACCCAGAAAGAAATCAGAAAGAAAACTCAGAAAAAGTCCATCAAGGTATTTTTTTTAAAAATTACGTTTGGGCAATTTTTACTAATTTTTATAAGAATATAACTAGTATAACACTTTTTGTTCAGCTATATGTGTGATTTCATTTTTAATATTTATCATTTGGCAGGAAAGATGGCTTATATGACAAGTCTGAATCTAAATCAGGGCGTGATAAAGAATCAAGGCTCAGGAAAGATGACAGAAAGCAAGGAGAGAGTCGCAGAAAGCGTGAAGAAAGTGGCAGAAATGTTGAGCGTAGACGTGAAGATCCAAGAAGGGAGGATAGGAGAGCAGGAGGTGATGATAGAAGAGGTGGAGGAGAAGATAGGAGAAGTGGAGTTGATGAAAGAAGGGCAGTTTTGGATGACAGGCGGGCTGGTGCCGAAGACAGGAGACTAGGAGGAGAAGAAAGAAGAAATGGGATGGAAGATAGGAGAGGAGTAGAAGACAGGAGAATGGGGGTAGAAGACAGGAGAATGGGGGCAGAAGACAGGAGGTCAATTACGGATGACAGAAGAGGAGGTGGGGATGATCGTCGCCGAGAAGATCCCAGAAAACCTGCAGAACCAAGAGACAGGAAAGACAGTGACCGTCCTGATGCCAGACGACCTGCAGACAGACCTGATCGCAGGCGTGATGACAACAGACTGCCCGATCGTGGGGCAAGAAGAAGAACTCCAAGTCCTTTTATGGGCAGAAGGTAAATTTTCTTTCTCTCACATTTTATCAGAAATGTATGTGCTTATTAACATAAATCCAATTCTTTCCATTAGAGAATACTTTTCTGCCAAAATAAAATTAGTATTATTCTGTCGACTGACATTTTCCAGAAAAAAAAAAACATTTCTCCTATCTTAGAAAAATTAGTTAATTACTATGAAATTGAATTACTTAATTAGTCTATTTGAATTTGTGACTTGTCTAGTTTGAAAGATGTAGTTTTCTGGGGCAAAAATCACAATTTTAAAGTAATTTTGAGCTAAGTTTACATTTCTACAACGGTCAGCCTTTTTGTAAAAAATTAGAAATTTTTCCTTGGTTTTTTTTTTTTGGAAAAGTTTCAACTTATTTCCCAATAGCTAGTATTTTGCTGAAAATGATATGCAATTTGCTACATGGGTCACTGTAACACAAATCACATTACCCAATAACCATAATCTCATGGAAGGTGGGGGTCTACTAGTGTGAACACACTAGCTCTTCGGTTAAAATATATAATTACTTTATGCATTGTCTTAAGGTTTCACATGTTAAAAAGCAATGATGACTTGTGAAGGGAGTCCTTCAGAGATTAATTTAGCCTACAATTAACAAAGTAATACAACTAGTGTGTCTAGTGGGAGAGAGCTGGACTGCTAACCTGTAAGTCTCGAGTTCGAATCTGGGTTCAAGTCAGTTGACCATCCCTGAGTCCACCTAACTCTGATGGGTACCTAACTCATGTTAGGGAAAGTAAAGGTGGGTGGGCATAGTGCTGACCACACTATCTCTTCATATGCCGAGGTCACAGAAACAAGTGAACTCTACTTCACTTGCCCTATGGACCGTCAGGTTTGAAAAGGGAACTTTACTTTTTTACAACTATATTCTCTCTTCCTTTAAATATTCTATTTATTTTTCAAAATTTTAAATGAGATTTATATATTTGTATTCTAAATAATATAGATATAGAGAAGGACAGGATAAAGTGAGAGATGGCAGAGGTAGATCAATAGATAGAGACAGATCTGATTCTAAAGGACCTGAAGATAAATTTAAAGACAGTTTGTCTGAAGGTCTAGCTTTACAGAGAGATGAGTCAGATGATGATGAAGAGTAAGCTTATACCATCTACTTGTTTATTAATGTTACTGTGTGGCATTTTTTGTATGGATGTTTTATCTACAAAACTTGGATTTTTTTTTTATACTTATTACTTTGTTTTACTCAGTTTAAACCATTTTTTTACCTACATTTTTAAGGCTAGACATAAGTTTAGAAGATGAAGAAGAAGATGCTGATGCCATCATTGAAAGAAGGAGGAAAGAAAGACAAGCATTGTTGGAGGTAAATTTTTATGTTTACCAAACCTGTAAATGACTTTACATTTTAATTCATGTTTTATTTTGGTAAAATGTTTCCATCAGATAAAAAAAGTCATTCAAAACTAAACAAAATTAACTCACTTTTTATACTTATTTGTCATTTTCAGAAATTGAAACTAACCAATCAGGTGGAAGATTCCAACTCGATGGATGTTTCTAGTATTGGTGGTAATGAGCCTATGGTAACTCAGGAAATGTCACAACAAGCTATAGAACAGAAGGAAGAAATGGAACAAAAAGCCAGGGAGGAAATGAAACATTTGTATGGTGAAGATTATGAGGATGATGAAAAGAGGTATTTCTAATTGCCTTTATTTTTTATTTGAATTAGAAATTATTTTCTATTCATCATGCTTAAAGATTTCTTGTGTGCACGTTTAGCAGAGATGCTGTGTCAAGTGTTCCTCGAAGTCCAGACAGTCAGAGAAGTCGGAGTCATAGCTTAGGCAGCAACACAAGTAGGGACCACCAACAGAGGCTGAGCCGAAGTACGGCTAGACGAAGCAGGGACAGGGATGAGCATAGGAGTGGAAGCAGGCGTAGTCGAAGTGTGAGTGGAGGTCGGGATAAACGATCCAGTGAGAGCCGTAGTTCATCCAGTGAAAGTGACAGGTAGACTATCTACTTTACTAAACGTTTAAGCTTTCTTTTTATGTCTTTTGTTATTTTATATGCCATTAGATAAACTAATAATATATTGGTTATTTTTATTGTATTACAAAGCCTTTAAAAGATAACGATATTTCACAGATTTTAACTAAAAAAATTTCTATTTTACAAAATGGAAGTTGCATAGTAAAAATTATTCAGACCATTAAAAAGTGGAAATAAAGAATTTTTCATCTTTTAATTTCTATAAAAATTTTGTAATTTCCTACATTAAATTGAAAAACAAATATTTCTAGGTTACACATTGAAATTTAGGAGCTTTCTAACAATTCAACAGGTTATAAAAGCTTGTTGTAATGTAGCAGAATCCAACTTTCTAAGTAGTGACACTAATGTACTGATGTTTTTAGGTCAAGTAGCTCAGGCAGTGATAGTGATGCTAGTAGCTCTGATGAGGAGAAGCCCAGCCACAAGAAAGAAGACAGTACACAAATCCACGACAAGGTCTTAGTCAATGGAGAGAACAAAGACAATGTATCTGGCAATGAGGAGAATGATGACAAATCTCAAAAAGAAGGTAAGTCAATAACATTTCAACTTTTGAAAATGATTTATCATAAACTAACTTGTTATTATTTATTATTATTAGTTATTAGTTTAAACATTTTTAACAATTGAAAATTTTTCAGAAGGGAAAAAAACAAAGAACGATGTTGTGGATATGTTTGCAGACACTGAGGACATGTTCAGTGAAAATTATAATGTAAGTCTATCTATCATCATTCCATTTAGACAGCTTCAGATGTATTCTCAAGTAAACATTTGTAGTTAAATTTTTAATGAATGTTGATAGCTGTATCTTGAAAGTATAATTTTTAAAAATTTGATGTTTTGTTTTTCAACTGTAAATAGAGCCCTGGTCTGAGAAGAGGTCTGATGGGAGTTGCAGAGAATCCCAATCTGACTGACAACTGGGACGATGCAGAAGGATACTATCGTAAGGAAATTATTCTGTGAAAAATAGTTCATTGGTTTGTTATTTCAAAATACAGCACTAGAGAATTTATACTATCTTAATATATAAATATTTCAAATCAAAATAAGCAGTAACGTTACTTAGGCCTGTTAGCTTTTTTTTTGTAGTATTTTTTAATCCTTTTTTTGTCTGTTGAATTAAACAGGTGTGAGGATTGGAGAAACTCTAGATAAACGTTACTCTGTGTATGCCTACAAAGGCCAGGGTATGTTCAGTAATGTTGTCATGTGTAGAGATGCAGCAAGGGGGAATACAGATGTTGCCATTAAGGTTATTCGTAATAATGAAATGATGTAAGTATTTCCTTCTTGCATTATTGTGAATGCTATAACATAAGCAGTATAATTGATGTACATTTTCCTTCTAAAACTGCATCATTTTATTTACAAGTAAAATATCTTTAGGTAGCTGACCTACTGTATAAATAATTTTTAAAAATTATGTCATATCAGCTAAATTAAATTGTGTTCAACAGCATTGAAAATTAATTATAATATGTTTGTTTTCTCATATTCAAAAACTATTTTTACTTAAATTGTGTCTCTTTTTGTTCTCTGTTAATAAATTTTAAAAGAACTTTTATTGTGGTTAAATTGTTTGTGTAAAATTTCTGTCTTACAAAGGTTAAAGACAGGTATGAAAGAGTTGGAGTTTCTCCGTAAGTTAAACGATGCTGATCCAGATGACAAGTTCCACTGCCTGCGTTTGTTCAGACACTTCTACCACAAGCAGCATCTTTGTCTGGTGTTTGAACCTCTCAGGTATTTTACCTTAAAATTCTATATTTTGTTAACACGTTTTCTAATGTACAGGCTGATTAATAACATACCTTTAAGAAATGTTTGAATTATTTTATTTTGTTAGTAAAGATTTTTATGGAAGGAACAATTTAATGTGTAGAATTTGCATTAAGTAAGAGCATTTTGGTTAATTAGTTAATACCTTAGCACTTAAACCATGTATATTACTACTTTAGGTTAGGATTAAACTGATAAACTATACATTGCAGTCTTAGTTCTTTTTCAACATGCAAACATAAAACTTGATTTTTATCACAAAATTATTAATTTTGACCAACATTCTAGCATGAACTTGAGAGAGGTTCTAAAAAAATATGGTAAAGATGTTGGACTTCACATAAAAGCAGTGAGGTCGTACAGTCAGCAGTTATTGCTAGCTCTTAAACTTCTACGCAAATGTAGTATTTTACATGCAGATATCAAGCCTGATAACATTTTGGTGAGTTTTGTGCACACATGGGATAAATTAAGCATCAAATGTATTTTTACTTAGTTACCTTATTTCTATATGTTTTATATTTGAGGTGATTCAATTTTAGTATGTAAAGCTTTATGATAGGAAACTAGATATTAAAGTGGTTTTTAGCTTCTTATTTCATTTTTAAATGTGTGTTTGTTGCTTTACATTTATCTAATTACATTTAATTACATAGTGTGTAAAATTATCCCATATTAAATTTAACATTATTTCTAAGATTTTATTGAAGTGAAATAAAAAAAACAACTAATGTTTAGAATAAATCTGGTTAATTCTGAAAGATGTTAGTTACTGATTTGATCTTCCCCTCAACTGAATAGGTGAATGAATCAAAAATGGTGCTCAAATTGTGTGATTTTGGTTCTGCCTCACACGTATCAGAGAATGACATCACCCCTTATCTTGTGAGTCGTTTTTACAGAGCACCAGAAATCAGTGAGTTTTTTCTTCTCCTTAGAAGCGATTCTTGGTATTTTATTATTTTAAGTAAAAGAATTGCCATGTTAAGCCCCCTAATGACTACAGGTTTATTTTTTTTTTATTTTTATGTTTGGTATTTTATTATTTTAACTACAAGACCATGTTAAAGTCCCCTTTTAATTACAGGTTTATTTTTGAAACTTGATATGTTTTACCATTTATAATTGCAGTTCTGGGTTTAGGGTATGATCACAACATAGACACCTGGTCTGTGGGGTGTACACTGTTTGAGTTGTACACTGGCAAAATACTTTTCCCTGGTACAAGTAGCAATGACATGTTAAAAACCATTATGGATTACAAAGGCAAAATCCCAAATAAGATGATCCGTAAAGGCATGTTCAAAGATCAACATTTTGACTCATCATACAATTTCCGCCACCATGAGATGGACAAAGTAACACAAAGGGTGAGTTTTGTTCAGTTTCTTGATATTCTTTGAACACTTGTATCCTTGTTTGCAATCGCACAACTTAGTAATTTTTTGTGCTTGTTTTTATTTTTTAAATTTTGCCTGTTGTCTTCAATGAGTTTTTATTTATAATAATTATCAGTTAACTACAACTTACACCAGTAAAATAAAAAAAATTAGTTAACATTTTTTTTAATGACTAGTAAGTTTGGGTTTTTTATTAAATGGTAGTAAGTGGTGGTACATCAAATGCTTTATAAAAGTAATAGAATACCATATACTCCAACTGTCATCAAGACAATAGCACAGAGTAGTAGTGTGGGGAATTAAGTAATTTCCATATTGTTTGTTAGGAAAAAGTGACTGTGATGTCTTCAATCAATGCCACCAAGGATATGCTGGCTGACATGGTCCCATTCAACCGTCTCCCAGAGGATCAGCTGAGGAAAGTGACGCAGTTAAAGGACTTGTTGGACAAACTGTTAGCCCTAGACCCGTCCAAGCGTATCCCCATCAACCAGGCTTTGTCCCATCCTTTTATAACAGAAAAAATCTGAGCCTGTAAAGTTGAAAATTTGCGGATAAACATTTTTTTATAGCCCAAACCATTGGGTTGAGTGGTTTCTGGAGGTTTTTGGTTACATTTTTAGTGGATCAGGCTCTTATTCTCTGCTTAATGAATTGTTTGAAAATCAAAGGTGACTTGATGGGTTGATTTACTAGCAGTGGAATATTTCTTGTGTATGAAAAGAGAATGTTGAAAATAAATGCTCTTATTTTCCAGGCCAAAACAGTCAAGTAGTTGACATGCAAAAAATGTTAGTGCGCACGGCTATTCAGCTTTTGCAAATGGAGTATATTGGTAATAAGTGAGGAGCTAAAGGTCATTTTAATGGATAGGTTTAGTTATATATTATAATAAATTTAACTGATGAAGATTAAATTGGTACCATAGTTATTTTAAACTGCTCATTTTTTAATTTTAACTATTGAATTATTGTCATTTGTTCTGTAATTCCATGATAAGCTTAAAAACGTTCTGTGATTGAAGTAATGATTATGAGAAAATGTTTCGCAATTGCTGAAATGACAATATATTTTACCTGCAGATCTTTGTATTAAATTTTAAAATTTGTTCCTGTGTTTGTTTACTTTTCACATTTTTTTCCTCATGCAAAAATGTAAAAAAAACTGGAGTTGATTGTCTGGCCACGACCAATGAGCCTTCTCTCCTGGCAAGGTCACATAGAAATTTGCTTTTCAAGGTCTTGTCTCAGCACCTTCATCGCCAGCTTAAATTCAAGGTTTTTCATGGTTCATTTTTTTCTACTCCTCTTTATGTTCTACAGATTGATTTTTTTTTTATGAAGGCAAAAATAGAAAATTGATGTTTGCACGAAAATAAGATTTCTGCACATTTTTAATAGTTATTAATATTAGCCAATACAGTAAATGTTGCTAAAGTTCTAGTCATGCATAAGTATTTAGATTGATTGCTGCAACTGTAGATCAAAGTATGGATTAGCTATTAGATAAAATGGGGTTGTACATGCAAGTTAGAATTTCCAGAAAATGCTTTCTATTTTAATTGCATTCAATACCTTGTTATGTAAGTAATATAAAAAATTTCCTGATGTAAAAAGTTATCTTCTACAGCAAATCACATCTTATTCATATAACTGTTAGAGGTAGGGAAGTTGGAAATGTTGAAAGTAAAACTGATTTAATCGGATTTAGAAAATCTCTTGAAGAATCTAGAGAAAATGGTTGGTATTGTGTTACACTGAACCTGTGGCTCATATGTGAATGTAGTTAGTTATTGGCAATTTTTTTAGCTGTTCAAATTCACTGATAGTGAAATTTTCACTCTAGTCATAGTGATAAAATACTAAGCTAAATAAATAATTATCTTGAATACTCAAGGAACACAAGTGCTAACAGAACTAACATGTGAAGTTTACATTGTCAAAAACCATCTTCAGTTCATGATGCTGCTCTGTTTATCATCATCCTAACATCATTGTTCATGTAATCCTATCAACCTGACCCAGTCATCTTTGTATGTACTGACCCCCATCACCTTTGACCCTGTGAATGACATTTTGTAACTAACCTTGTCTCATCTTTCTTCTAGGTGGATGTAGCCATGACTGTAGTGCAGGAGACACAATTAAAGGTTATAACATAGAGTGTACATGACTTGCAATTACATTGATAAAACCTACAGCCTTTTGACTCAGTTTCATTTTATATCGCAGCTTAATAAGTTTAATCGCTGACTTTAAAAAAAAAAAAAATTAGTGCTAAAAGAGTTTAAAAATTCATGGTACTGCTGAAATTTTTGTTCCCTGCTAATACATTTTATGACAAGAATTTTTTTCAGGCAATATTTGGGCTTTAGTATATTTGGAGCTTATGATTATTAATTTTTATAAAAATCTGGGGGAAAATTCTTTTGGGCTGCATCCATTCAATTTAATCTCATCTGGCCTTAATTGAATCCAAATATGCTAATGTCCAGATGTTTACAATTTTTATCTGATTGTTCTTTTTTGTATCATTTCAGGTAAGATTTTGTTCCATATGATACTAAGACACAAGCTGACATCTCATAAAACAAGACGTGTCCTCTACCCTAGTGGTTTGTTTAGTCAACAGACAGGACGCATCTGCTGGTTGCCATATGGCGGCTCTTTAATCTCAGTCATTAATTAAGTTGGCTTTAAACAACCTTGTTTTAGAATTTGCTGATTAAACTTAATTTAAGCTTACAGCTGATAAATTTGTTTTTTTTTTTTTGTTGTTGTTAGCTGGTCATTGTAAATAGGTATTGGTATATACTTGTACTAGAATCAAAATAAATAATATAATAGCAACTTTCGGACTACTCACAGCTGTTCCTCCCATGAAAGAAATGACAATGTAATAATGCCAGTACAAAGTACTGTCTGGTGTTATATTTCTCTGAAAACAGCCAAGTAGGTGGAAGGGTAGAATTCATGGACTCCGAAGGAAATGACACTGGCTTATTCTTCTCTGAAACTTCAAATTTGAATGTCAGTTTCATGACTTGGCAATTGAGAAACAGTTGGAAAATGTATTTGCTTATTATAAATTAAATATGTTGCTAAAAACAAACATGAAGAAGGGTTCAATTTAAACATTGTTTTAATTAAATAAATATTTTTAGAAAGGCTACATACACATGGAAGTAAAGGAATTAAAATTGTTATCTAATCATGAAAGGGTGATACAGGACAAGCAAAAATTTCACAAGCAATTTCATATTCATTCATTTAATTAATATAAACTCACATAGGTGCTATATAAGTTAATACAACGTTTAGAAAATATAATGGGTGATGATGAATCCTTTCATGACTTATTCTAAAGTTGTCTCCCTGTGAGCTCATACTGCAGTGCCTGGTACACATGCATGCTATTTTAGGACAATACACATCAATAGTAGAATGAGATAGTGTGGCATTCCCCATTGCAGATTTACATTTTCAAGTTTTAATTAAATAAAACATATGAACATTCTATTTTCAATCATCGTAGCCTATTTTAAAAGAACATTTTTTTTTAATCTGTGTAAATATATTCATTATAATTACATGAGTATTTTTATGGGTATAATGATATATCTTTACATCTATCTATAATCTTTATGTATCGACCTTTAAAATTTCACTAGTACTATGAGTTGAAATTGGCTACTTGCTTGGCTATTATATTTACAAAGGCAGCCTACTATTTGATGTAGACTAGCTGATGCTTTTGTAACTTGTGTACTAAGCAATTTAACCACCATGTATTTTTAGAAGACCTCAAAATTCTTACAAACCAGGCGCATGGGGGGGGGGGTGTATAGATCTAAGCATCCTAGCACAAAGTTATGTCATATTTTTTTAAATTTTCCTCTTTATTGTCATACATCACAAAAAGTAAGACGCCCTCATCCCCAGCGCATTTAAATTATCCAGCCCCTCTTCCCAATGTCATCAGGAGCAACCCTAATGCACTGAAGAACCTGTACTGTAAATAAAATCTATTTTCTAACTCCTGTTTGAAGTAATATTTTAGAGGTTTCCTTTTTTTACTTTCTCGTATATACGAAGTATAGAGAAAGTCTTGTAATCGTGCAAAAAAAAAAAATCGAGATTTTTACAAATCTCGACGTTTCACACCTCACTGATACGGAAAAACATAATTTTGCAATCTTGTCCGTATGTCTGTGTGTCTGTCTGTGTGTCTGTGTGTCTGTCTGTCCGTGTGTAAACACGATAACTTGAGAACCGTTACAGCTAGGTTGATGAAATTTCATATATAAGTATTTTATCAAAATCGTAGATCCGTATCAACTTTTGAGCGATTTCCGATAACCGGAAGTGGTACTTTTCCTACTTTGAATTTTTCAAAAGCCTATAACTTGAGTACTATTTCAGATAGATAAATGAAATTTCATATGTAAGTAAAAGATCTAATTCTCTACCTTCTATCAAATTTTGAGTCATTTCCGTTGACTGGAAGTAGTACTTTACGCTACTTCCGATTTCTCAAAAAACTAATGTAAATTTTAAAAGTAATAATAATATTGCGCACCATTATGCGCTTTTTTATTTGGCGTTCACTTGGTGTGCAATTAATTTGTCTACGAGATTTTATTCTATTTTTAAAACTTTAAGTATTTAAAATGGATTAAAAATCATGTCTATAGCCCGAGTTCCCATCCCCTGTTATTTTATATAAGAATATTCGAGAAAGTTTAGGGGAGATCACTCCCGGTTTATTTTACTTTCTCGTATATACGAAGTATAGAGAAAGTATTGTAATCGTGTACAAAAATCACTTGAAATTTTAACAATTTTCACCGTATTACACCTCAGTCCTTCATCACATCCGAAGTATAGAGGACTTATTTTAATCGGGCAAAAATTATCAATCCAGATTTATCAAAATTAAGAGGTTTTATGCGTAATCCAGTCTGAAAAACTGGGCTTTGCAATTCTGTCCGTATGTCTGTGTGTCCGTGTGTAAACACGATTACTTGAGTACCGTTATAGCTAGGTTGATGAAATTTCATATATAAGTATTTTATCAAAATCGTAGATCCGTATCAACTTTTGAGCGATTTCCGATAACCGGAAGTGGTACTTTTCCTACTTTGAATTTTTCAAAAGCCTATAACTTGAGTACTATTTCAGATAGATAAATGAAATTTCACATGTAAGTAAAAGATCTAATTCTCTACCTTCTGTTAAATTTTGAGTAATTTCCGTTGACCGGAAGTAGTAATTTACGCTACTTCCGATTTCTCAAAAAACTAATGTAAATTTTTAAAGTACTAATAATATTGCGCGCTATTGTACACTTTTTTATTTGGCGTTCACTAGTTCACTTGGCGTGCAATTATTTTGTCTACGAGATTTTAATCTATTTTTAAAACTTTAAGTATTTAAAATGGATTAAAAATCATGTCAATAGCCCGAGTTCCCATCCCCTGTTGTTTTATATAAGAATATTCGAGAAAGTTTAGGGGAGATCACTCCCGGTTTATTTATTACTGTAGGCTGTTTACCAATTTGTGACAAATTTTGTACTGAAAGGTTAAATTTTTAAAATGATTGCTATCAAACAGCGAATGTATTTACATACAATACTATATAATACTTTGACAGTTGGAATTGGGTCTGAGGTTAAAGCGTCACTTTTGGCTAAAAGATCTATACTGCACTACATACAGGTCGCGTTTATGAATCTAATCATTAAAAAAATGAAATCAAGCAGATCTAAATGCAAACATTTAAAAAGAAACTATGGATAATATTTAGAATCGACCCTTGATTGAATCCCTGGCAGAACGAGCCCCCAGCATAGCCTCAACCAACCGGCAGGCTTGTTGCATTGAGTTAAATATAAATAAACTCGAAACAATAATATAAACTATAAACTGTCTTATTTAAACACTTTTAGTAGTATGTATTAAATTTGTTAACTATTCATTCATATTATTGATAAAACGTACACAATGCATAACAATATTTGCACAAAAACAACTAATGAAATAAAACTTTTAATGAATGGCGTTTAAAAATTCACAAGTACAGATATCCCTCGCTTTACAGTTGATTTACACATTACCGTAACATTAATTTTTTTATTAATAGTAGTAAATTAGTAGACTTAGGAATAAAATGAAGTTACAGACAAAGAAATAAAATATAAATAGCTGATGACATTTTACGATTGCAATGTGCTTTAAATGGAGTGCACTTGTGCGCTGAGCGTCAATTAATAAGAAAGCACAGTTGGTTGAGACAACGGATGAAGATTGTTTAGCTACGATGAGTTTAATTTAGAGAAAGCGAAATGTAAATTAAACTGCAGAACTCGACATCACATTTTAGTCAAAAGTTTTGAGAACGAAAATTATTTAAACTGCTGAAGTCTATAACACTGCTGAAGTCAACGTAAATTTAACTGCTAAACTCTAAAGCGCTACTCAACTCAAAAGTTTAGAGGAATGAACATGAAACCGATGAAGGTTGTATCGCTTCCCACCTCAAAAGTTTATAAATCCCCGATAAAAAATAACCTGTTAAAGTCGTTGACCCAACTCTAGTTAAAAAAGAAAGATACAGTTTAATTCTAAAGCCCCTTTTCAACCTCAGTGAGTTGCTAAATATACAGAAATGATAACCAACATAGAGCAAGACGCAAATGCCCACGGACCCATCAGTTATCTGTCAACAAAGCATTGTTTCAAGTAGCGTATCGATAATCAGAGGCGTAGCGACCCCTTCCGGCGCCCGGGGACAAAACTTTCGATTTGCACCCCCCTCGAACTTTTCATTTGCACCCCCCTCAAACTTTCGATTTGCACCCCCCCCCCCCTCGAACTTTTCATTTGCACCCCCCTCAAACTTTCAATTTGGCGCCCCCCTAAGGTCGGCGCCCGGGGACATATGTCCCCCCCCCCCCGCCCCCCCTCCTTCCGCTACGCCTCTGTCGATAATGACTCTTTACAATGAGATATGCATTTTCTCATTCAAGACGGTTGGGAGCCCTACATGGACAGAAGGGCTGGAGTTACAAGAGACGGGGAGAGTTGAATCCCCTGGCTGCAGGATCTGTGTAGCAAGAAAGTATTGTTGCATGCAAAATTCCCTCTGGGCTGCGCAGTAGTTGTGAACCTTCTGCGCAGTCATTTTGTAAAATACATGTATACGTGTATAAGACTTATAGAACACCGCGCACACAAAATATACGTTGCACACTCGTTTTTTTTTCTCGATAGAGCTACATATCGGTAATGAGATATGCATTTTCTCATTTTCTTCTTAGAGGGAACGTTGATTGCATATCGACGTGTTCCTAATCACGATTAATTAGTTGTCAACTACAGGACCATTGTCCCATCTTTCAACAACAGCACACAATTTGAGCAATACACATCCATTAGTCCAATAAAACACAACACTATTACACAAGCAAACCGTTATTAGACCGCCTTAATAATTAAACCATCTTAACGATTAGACCACCATCTTTACTATCAGATCATCAATGAACATTTGTAGACAATCATTGGTAACAATTATTACCATCATGAGAATAAGACAATCATTGACCTCCAGTTTAAAAAAAAAATTAGACAGGTCAATAGGGCCAAAGAAAAAAAAGTATCCGTTTATAGATGAGAAGTATGAAAGTTTGGGTAAACACAAGACTGTCAACGAATTCATTAGGCAACATTTAAGTTTTAAAAAAAACCGCAACATTCAAGCAGAAAACAATTAGAATCTAAATAGCTTCATACACAGGTTAAACAAAAATAATTGTGAAACAAATATGAAGAACCAACCAAGCATATTCATCATTCACCAACAAACCAAGCATGTTGACCAGCCAACCACATCTACCAATCCCCCAACCAACTTCTCAAGCACATCCTAAAAAATCTCAACCTCCTAGCCAACCATATCCTCAAAATCCCAACCAACCAGCCAACCACATCCACCAAGCTCCCAGCCAACCACATCTACCAATCCTTCAACCTCTCTGCCAACCACATCCACCAACCTCCCAAACAACCAGCCACCCTTTCAGCGAGAGATATCTGCACTTGTCAGTAACTAGACAAACATGGGAAGTGTTCTCAAATCCTATTGGTCGCCTCATAGCTATTTGCACGGCTGGTGTGTCTACTGGACGGCTCCTTAGCGTTGTTCTTAGCCAGAGATTGCTGGTAGCTGTACAGTTGTTTCTCTAGTGCATAGTTTTCTGCTTGCAGGGCCAAGATTTCACGCCTGTGATAAATAAATAAATTGTTTTAAGACATTTTTATGTTGTTGTTTTTTTTAAAATCAACTAAACAAATTAAATCTAAGAAAACTGGCTTTTAAAAGAGCACTGAAATTAATAAATGAAAAAAAAAAAAAAAAAAAAAAAAAAAAAAAAAAAAAAAAAAAAACCACTAAGTAAAGAAGTAAGTCACATTATGTGTCGAAACGTCACAGTATAGTTGTTGATACATTTTTGCTTGATTGATTGGCTGTAGTTTAATTATGTATTTTAAAGCTACTCCTTGTCAAAAGAATCATATAACTTGAATACGTTTGAAATAGCCAGACTTAAAAAGCATTGTAGAACAAACTATAGAATGGCAAGCCCCACTTTACATCTGCGTTGTTGATTTTGAGAAGGACTTTGATAGTGTGGATAGGTCTATGCCAGTTCTGGAAAAGGTAGGCCTATATAGTGACAACTCAGGAGGAAATTGGAGATTCGTGAATTTGCGGATGATATTGCCCTATTCTCACTCTGGCTGTAAGGCATGCAAGAAGAAGTTAATGCATTAGGAGTCATCTCATAGCGCGTACGTCTCAAGATCAACAACAAAAGACAGAAGTAATGAGAGCCAACAATAACAAAGAGGACCAATAACAATAATCAGAAAACGTAAATGATGTGGAGGAATTTGTCTATCTTGGCAGCAAGATCAGCCAATCAGTAAACACAGGAAACACAGGAGGACACCCGTGCCAGAATTAATAGAGCCCGCTGTGCTTTCAGTCCTACGACGCATGTGGAAAAATACTGCCATCGCCAACAGAATAAAAAAAAAAATTAAGATTCTAAATTCAAATGTCAATGCGGTTTTGCTATATGGAACAGCGACATGGAGGGTTTAATAGGACTGCACAGACAATGTAAAAATCTTCATTAACACATGTCAGTGATAGATCCTGAAATCGAGGTGGCAGGACAAAGTGCCTTACATAGGCCTATGAAGAGGACAAGGCATGAGCCTATGACAGTGCAGATAAGAAGGAGGAAGTGGCGCTGGGTGGGGCACACATTGCAAAAGGCCCACACAAATGTGACAAGTCGTAAGCTTGCGTGGAACCCCCAAAGAAGGGGATAGAGAGGGTGCACAAGACGGACCTGGAGGATGAGTGCTCTTGAAGAACTAAAGACAGCAGGAATGTTGGGAGGCTGCAAAATCAACAGCATGGGAGGGGTCGGCGTGGTCGAGTCGGTAAAGCTCATGGGTGCTAAACCGAACAGTCTCGAGTTCGAACCCTCGGGCAGATGAGGCTCGTTAGCTGCGGACAGCCACTCTTCTAGGAGAGATAACTCCTAAATCAAACAACTGCTGCCATGTAGTTTGTTCTTAGTTGGACAGAGGCTATGGAAGCAAATCCAAAAAGAAAAGCAGGCTGAAATCGGAGTCAATGGCCTCAATGACGCATAACCAGTTGACACGTAATCCTTAATTGTGATGGAAGCATGGTCGAGTCGGCAAAGCTCATGGTTGATAAATTCGAAAAAAGTCTCGAGTTCAAACCCTCTGGCAGATAAGGCTCGATCCCTCCCAACACTAAAAATTAAGAACGAAGAAGAAGAAGAACAACTTGGGACTGGACAAAATGGAAGGTTATGGTTGAGGCCCTGTGCTCCATAAGAAGCAACGATTATTAAGACAAATAAGTCACGTTTGAAGTGAAAAGAAAAAAAAAATAAATAAATGCGAAACTGTTTTTGAGAAAGACACGAGAGCTCATTTGTTGTTAGAGGTACGATAGGTATGGGGAGTGGAGTAAAGCATGTGTTGAAAGAAATTTTAAACCCATAAATGTTAACGTGTATCCCGTGATCTGAATTTCAGTTTACAGCCAACGATCACTTAGTGTTGTAAATTGTCATCTTAGCTCCATTAATGTTGCCAGTTTTTGAAGGTTCTTTCACTTTTTTTAAGAATTTTTTTATTTTTATTGACCCGCCTGTTTTAACACAGTCATTAGAAAGTGGATGTCAACATGAGCTGTGTAAAGGGGGTGTACAGCCTTCCTTGTATGGACCTGTCTCATTACTAAAGCATAATAAAAATTGTCTTTATTAAACTACACGATAAATCAAATTAAAACGGTAGGAAGATGTTTTTTTTTTGTTTCATTTCATTATTCGTTAAAAATTGACTGTCTTTTCTCATCACCCAATCAAATTCACCGTCACTTTTATCCAATCGATCTCCTTCTCTTTCAACTTTTTCTTTCGCAAATGAAAAAAAAAATATCCTATCATTAGAATTAAAAAAAAAAAAAACTACTCCAAATGACTCAATTTTTAGTATTTGAACAAAACTTGCAAATTTTTCCATTTTGTATGAATTATAATCATATAAACGTTTTACAATAGTATTTCACTGTAGAATTGTAACATATTTTTCTCAAATCTCGTTTACAGTGACGTATCGTTTTATTATTTAAAAGAAATGTGCATAAGGTATTTTATTTTCTTGATTCACTTTTCTTACACATTTTTTAAGCCGGTAATAAGGAGATGTGCATTTTTACTCCTCTAACAGCGCGCGTGTCGCTAATGGCGTATTTTTAAAGCACTTTCTCTATTTAAATGTATCTTTTTTTAAAGGAAAAAAATATCGACTAGCTTTCAGAATCCTTTCCACTCAATCAGTGCGCCAGACGAGAGCTGGTTAGGTCATAAGAGCGTGAGAGAGCTGGTTAGGTTATGAGAGAGCTGGTTAGGTTAGGAGAGAGCTGGTTAGGTCATGAGAGCGTGAGAGAGCTGGTTAGGTTATGAGAGAGCTGGTTAGGTCATGAGAGCGTGAGAGAGCTGGTTAGGTTATGAGAGAGCTGGTTAGATCATGAGAGAGCTGATTAGGTCATAAGAGAGCTGGATAGGTCATGAGAGAGCTGGTTAGGTCATGAGAGAGCTGGTTAGGTCATGAGAGAGCTGGTTAAGTCATGAGATAGCTGGTTAGGTCATGAGAGAGCTGGTTAGATCATGAGAGAGCTTGTAGATCATGAGAGCGTGAGAGAGCTGGTTAGGTCAGGAGAGAGAGCTGGTTAGGTCAGGAGAGCGTGAGAGAGCTGGTTAGGTCATGAGAGAGCTGGTTAGGTCATGAGAGAGCTGGTTAATTCATGACAGCTGATTAGGTCATAAGAGAGCTGGTTAGAACATGAGAGAGCTGGTTAGGTCACGAGAGTGTGAGAGAGCTGATTAGGTCATGAGAGAGCTGGTTAGATCAGGAGAGAGCTGGTTAGGTCATGAGAGTGAGAGAGAGCTGGTTAGGTCATGAGAGTGTGAGAGAGTTGATTAGGTCATGAGAGAGCTGGTTAGGTCATGAGAGAGCTTGTTAGGTCAGGAGAGCGTGAGATAACTGGTTAGGTTAGGAGAACGTGAGAGAGTTAGTTAGGTCACGACAGCTGGTTAGGTCATGCGAGCTGGTTAGGTCAGGAGAGCTGGTTAGGTCATGAGAGCTGGTTAGTTCAGGAGGGCATTAGAAAACTCCAAAAACAAACAACCGATGCCTTACCTTTCAGATTGTTCATGAAATTTTTGAAAGCAAGTCTAGAAAAGCATACAGGCTGATATCGGTGTCAACTCGCCACACCATGTTGACACGTAAGACTCAATTATGTTGGATTAAATCACCTTCAGGATTACATTTAAGTACGAAGAAGAAGAAAGAAGACTTATCAATGAAGTGGAAGCGGAATGACGTATGTGCCTATCTAGCAGTAGTGTATCTGTAAGTGGGGGTGGGGCTTATATGAAGATATCATTCATGGAGAAGGTTCATTTGATGGGTGAGTGGTGAAACTACGCCCTCAATCAAAAGATTGTATTGGCGCCATTACGGGATGTTTCTCTTCAATTCTTCCCCATCATCGCGCTGACAGTGAATGGGTTTTAAAAAAAATGCAGTGATAACAATTTTCGATCCTACAATCTGCTGACGGTTAAAAATAAATTAAACGCTTTTGTAATTGGGTCACTGTGACATTGTGTCTGCTGATTAACGTCACGTGATAGGGTTTTCACGCCCAGCTGAAATCTGGTAGGGAGGGTTGGGCAAACGGCGAGGCTGGTCTGAGCCTAGGCGAGTGCATCATCTTTTCCCGTCCGTACCCAAAACACGTGGCTCAGATGTAGTAGAGTTCACCTGTTTCAGTGATTCGTGACGTACAGGGGGTAATGTGGTCAGCCCTATGCCCACCCGCCTTAATTTCCCTTACGTGAGTTGGGTATGTTTCATAGCTGGGTGGACTCAGTGAGTCAGGTACCCATCAGAGCTGGGTGGACTCAGTGAGTCAGGTACCCATCAGAGCTGGGTGGACTCAGTGAGTCAGGTACCCATCAGAGCTGGGTGGACTCAGTGAGTCAGGTACCCATCAGAGCTGGGTGGACTCAGTGAGTCAGGTACCCATCAGAGCTAGGTGGACTCAGTGAGTCAGGTACCCATCAGAGCTGGGTGGACTCAGTGAGCCAGGTACCCATCAGAGCTGGGTGGACTCAGTGAGTCAGGTACCCATCAGAGCTGGGTGGACTCAGTGAGTCAGGTACCCATCAGAGCTGGGTGGACTCAAAGATGTCCTACAGACTCGAGCCCGGGATCCGAACTCGAGACTTTCGGGATAGCAGTCATAAGCTCTATCATCCGACCACGCTACATTCCTTTTCTCTTCACAGCTATATTCTGTGCTCCGACAATTTTCGGTATATCACTCATACTATCCCCGGCATTGTCAGTTGTATCTTATTAACAAAACTAATTTGTATAGCAATGGATGGCAATCATATGGTCAACTCATTAAACCCAATAAGTTTAGAGAACAGTTATTGCGTGAACACGCACATTCACACACACACACGCACACACGCGCATGTGCACACACACACGCACACACAAGCACACACTAGCACACACGCGCGCGTGCACACACACACGCGCACACACAAACACGCACACACACACGCATATATATTTAAACGTCTTTTATCTAACAAGGGTGTAAGGTAGAAAAACATTTGTTTTATTTATTTCTTTAATAATTAATTTAACCAATTAGAGCATTTTGATATATTGTTTTCACGAAAATAATCATGTAAACATTAATTATTTTAATTAAATTATTTTACTTTTAACATGTAAGCCCTACTTAAATTAAAAAAAAACCCGTAAAATATCCAATGACAGGAGAGCGTAAATCTCTGGTAAAAAAAAAAAAAATTCTTGACACACCAGAAGGCAACATGAAGCAATTTCTCAAATTTATCGATTACTATAGCCAGACAAGGCTGAAGTTTATTGAGTAGCCAATCAGCTTTTGAGAGGATAAGCCTCAAGTTCTTAAAACTCGCTCAACCAAGCAGTATAAAAATAGAAACATTTCGCTCAGCTCATGGGAAAACCCGTTTTTTTTAAAAATGTTCTATTTTTAATTTCACGCTGCGTTTGGTAGCCGGCGGTGAACTATCATTCTTGTCCAGTTATCATCGTATGTCTTTGTATCAGTGTATCATTGTATGGCAGGCTTATCTTTGTATCATTGTATCATTGTATAGCAGCTTCACTGCTTCTTTCAGTGATTTTTCTCCGAGGAGAGGCACTTGAAATTTTCGGGGTGGGGGGGGGGGGACTAAATTTTCCGGGGGTGGGGGAGGGACGCGGAACTAGTAAAAGTGAGGAGATGTCTGGAATAAACTCTGGGCAGCTTATCTTTGTATCAGAGTATCATTGTATGGTGGGTTTACTGTTACGTCCGGATTTAGTTCAACTCAGTAAACGATTCGTGACAATCTTCATACTTTATTTGGACAAAATTCTTCACATAACAGAGTAGCCCTCTACCAACTAACCCCTTACAATCATTCACTCCATCTTTTATACCGCATTCGACCTTGGTATAACAATACATAAACACACCGGGGTTAAAAATACTCTAGGGTAAACTCAACTCACACACGCACTCTCCCCTAAGTTCTAGATTATTCTAACCTATTTCTATCTAACCTACAGCTGACCCGTAACATTAACCTCCAATCAATTATTCTCCGAACAGTCGAATGTTCTACCAACCACCCAGTAATTCTCCGAACAGTCAAATGTTCTACCTAACACCCAATAATTCTCCGAGCAGTTGAATGTTCTACCTAACACCCAATAATTCTCCGTACAGTCGAATGTTCTACCCACCACCCAATTATTCCCCGAACAGCCAAATGTTCTACCTAACACTCAGTAATTCTCCGAGCAGTTGAATGTTCTACCTAACACCCAATAATTCTCCGAGCAGTTGAATGTTCTACCTAACACCCAATAATTCTCCGAGCAGTTGAATGTTCTACCTAACACCCAATAATTCTCCGTACAGTCGAATGTTCTACCCACCACCCAATTATTCTCCGAACAGCCAAATGTTCTACCTAACACTCAGTAATTCTCCGAGCAGTTGAATGTTCTACCTAACACCCAATAATTCTCCGAGCAGTCGAATGTTCTACCAACCACTCAGTAATTCTCCGAACAGTCGAATGTTCTACCTACCACCCAGTAAATCTCCGAACAGTCAAATGTTCTACCTACCACCCAATAATTCTCCGAGCAGTTGAATGTTCTACCTACCACCTATTATTCTCCGTACAGTCGAATGTTCTACCTACCACACAACCCCAACTCTCTGATTCGTTTAGGCAGACGCATGCGCACTAATGCTCGAACAACCAGTGATTATTTCCTGATATGTAAATTTGTTCTCTTCACATCGCCTAACTACAACAAGACACGTCATAATGACAGAGACAATTAGCCATCTCGCAATTAGACCGTGACCTTTACTTGATTTATTAACCCAAACACATCTTTAAAATCTGAATAACTTCATTTAATTAATTAGTCAAACCAGCATTACGATTTTATTTTCTTTAAAAAAAAATATTTTTTGTTAGAATTAACTATCATAATTAGCATTATCTATTTTACATAACTTCTTTTTCGATGCTATCATTAGACTAATTGCTATTTTTTCCCATTTGACTCGGAGGGTCAAGGTCGAATGCTGCACGCGCCAAGACGGGAACGAGGCCACTTAAGCTGGTTGACGTCAAATACCAAGCGTAGCTTATATCGTCTACTGAGTAGACTCTACTCTATCGGTGGCATTTGATTGGATAAGCTTGTCTTGGTGCGTGGGTTATTTAATGGGTGCAGGGAGCTTGGAGTTACTCATCTTTGGTACGTGTAGTCTGGGCCGTGATTTTCCGGCAGGGAGGACAATTGGTAGGGCCGTGATTTTCCGGCAAGAAAGACAATTGGTAGAGACATGATTTTCCGGCAGGAAAGACAATTGTTAGAGACAAGATTTTCCGGCAGGAAAGACAATTGGTAGAGACATGATTTTCCGGCAGGGAGGACAATGGATGGGGACATGATTTTCCGGTAGGGAATACAATATATAGGGTAGTGATATTCTAGTAGGATTTTCCGGCAGGGAGGTAGGGAGAGAGTGACAATTTTGTTGGACCATGATTTAATTATAAAGACAACTATCGGTTAAATAGATTAAAATTTTTTTTTAAGCATTGATTTCAATAAAGTAAATAAAACACAAGTTGGCGAACCCTAGGCAATGGACCAGAGACGCAATAAGTAAAAGTTTTGGTAAAATTGAAACCTTAAATAACAACATGTTATTTTAGAGCAGAGAAACTCACTAAAAATAACTTTTGAAGGTTTGGTGTACACTACCAGTAAATTAAAGACTTTTTAAAAAATAGTTTAAACTATACCTGAGAGTGACGTGATTGTGTGTTGTTTTTACATGTTTTTACATGTTTTTACATGTTTTTTTACATGTTTTTACATCTTTTTACATCTTTTTACATGTTTTACAAGTTTTCAGGGTCATGTTTTCTATCACACAATGTCAGTGACCTAAGATTTCTACGACAAGATGTCAGTGACCTAAGATTTCTATGACAAGATGTCAGTGACCTAAGATTTCTATGACAAGATGTCAGTGACCTAAGATTTCTATCACACATAATGTCAGTGACCTAAGTTGTCAGTGACCTAAGTTGTCAGTGACCTAAGTTGTCAGTGACCTAAGATTTCTATGACAAGATGTCAGTGACCTAAGATTTCTATCACACATAATGTCAGTGACCTAAGATTTCTATCACAAAATGTCAGTGACGTAAGTTGTCAGTGACCTAAGATTTCTATGACAAGATGTCAGTGACCTAAGATTTCTATCACACATAATGTCAGTGACCTAAGATTTCTATCACAAAATGTCAGTGACCTAAGATTTCTATGACAAGATTGAGCCTCTATGTGTCTCTTAAAACGTGAAAGTAAATTGCAGGCCGATGAATTAGCGGATTAGGAATTTGCCTGCTACCCCGTGCAAATAGCCAGCTATATATTCATTTTTCTGTAGTAAAAATAAATTAAAAAAAAACACGTTATAGAGTTTAGTTGCTAAATGAGATACAGATCTTCTGATTGCCTGAAATAGACACTAGAAGGATGATCCAATTTTGAATACGACGATCTATTAGTAACGTTAAACGGCTAATTTAGACCTCGTTTTAAAATATCTGATAGCGTTCTTGTTAGGGGGGGGGGGGTGTGAATGTAGAAACTGATGTGCTACAGAGAGACAGACAGAGAGACATGCAGAGAGACAGAGAAAAAGAGAGACAGGCAGAGAGACAGACAGACGGACGGACGGACAGACGGACGGACGGACGGACAGACAGACAGACAGACAGACAGACAGACAGACAGACAGACAGACAGACAGACAGACAGACAGACAGACAGACAGACAGACAGACAGATGCAGCGTCTAAGTTTTATAGACGCTAAGGACCAAAAACTGGGTTCCTTTGAGATGAATAGATGCTGGATACATTGATGGATGGATCGGTCATGTGATATCCATATCGTTGTAAAAGAGGGGGGGGGGGGGGGTGTAGGCCAAATAAGCTAATTGCTAAACAACATGATTTATGGCACAGTTTTAGTAACGATTAGATCGATATAGCCGGATGATTGATTTGTGAATTGTTGACCTTATACCCAGCTATCTTCTACGTTGTAAATCGATAATTGAACCGATATCTCCTATTGGTTTCAGTCTGTAAAAATCCTCAGTCCACAGGAAAACATTGACACCGTCAAAAGAGAAAGGCTGACACCGTCAAAAGAGAAAGGTTGACACCGTCTACGGCAAGTGTGTTTACTTACGACATCTGGTGTTTGTGTAGCCTCGTGACGTCATCGATATTTGTGTAGTTGGGGCAGACGAGCAGGTGGGAGTCCATCCACTCGATGTGGATGGTCATCTTGTGGTCCTCTTGCTCCAGGAAGGGACATTCGGGCTCCTTGAGCTGTGGGAGACAGCAGGTAGAGAGGGGTTAGGTGACAGTGGACAGGGATGTAGGGGAATGACTAGATGGGTAGGGAGGGGGTAGGAAGGGGTTAGGTGACAGTAGATAGGGATGTAGGGGGATAACTAGATGGGTAGGGAGGGGTTAGGTGGACAGTGGACAGGGATGTAGGGGAATAACTAGATGGGTAGGGAGGGGTTAGGTGACAGTAGATAGGGATGTAGGGGGATAACTAGATGGGTAGGGAGGGGTTAGGTGACAGTAGATAGGGATGTAGGGGAATAACTAGATGGGTAGGGAGGGGTTAGGTGGACAGTGGACAGGGATGTAGGGGAATGACTAGATGGGTAGGGAGGGGTTAGGTGGACAGTGGACAGGGATGTAGGGGAATGACTAGATGGGTAGGGAGGGGTTAGGTGGACAGTGGACAGGGATGTAGGGGAATGACTAGATGGGTAGGGAGGGGTTAGGTGGACAGTGGACAGGGATGTAGGGGAATGACTAGATGGGTAGGGAGGGGTTAGGTGGACAGTGGACAGGGATGTAGGGGAATGACTAGATGGGTAGGGAGGGGGTAGGAAGGGGTTAGGTGACAGTAGATAGGGATGTAGGGGGATAACTAGATGGGTAGGGAGGGGTTAGGTGGACAGTGGACAGGGATGTAGGGGAATGACTAGATGGGTAGGGAGGGGTTAGGTGGACAGTGGACAGGGATGTAGGGGAATGACTAGATGGGTAGGGAGGGGTTAGGTGGACAGTGGACAGGGATGTAGGGGAATGACTAGATGGGTAGGGAGGGGTTAGGTGGACAGTGGACAGGGATGTAGGGGAATGACTAGATGGGTAGGGAGGGGTTAGGTGGACAGTGGACAGGGATGTAGGGGAATGACTAGATGGGTAGGGAGGGGTTAGGTGGACAGTGGACAGGGATGTAGGGGAATGACTAGATGGGTAGGGAGGGGTTAGGTGGACAGTGGACAGGGATGTAGGGGAATGACTAGATGGGTAGGGAGGGGGTAGGAAGGGGTTAGGTGACAGTAGATAGGGATGTAGGGGGATAACTAGATGGGTAGGGAGGGGTTAGGTGGACAGTGGACAGGGATGTAGGGGAATGACTAGATGGGTAGGGAGGGGTTAGGTGGACAGTGGACAGGGATGTAGGGGAATGACTAGATGGGTAGGGAGGGGTTAGGTGGACAGTGGACAGGGATGTAGGGGAATGACTAGATGGGTAGGGAGGGGTTAGGTGGACAGTGGACAGGGATGTAGGGGAATGACTAGATGGGTAGGGAGGGGTTAGGTGGACAGTGGACAGGGATGTAGGGGAATGACTAGATGGGTAGGGAGGGGTTAGGTGGACAGTGGACAGGGATGTAGGGGAATGACTAGATGGGTAGGGAGGGGTTAGGTGGACAGTGGACAGGGATGTAGGGGAATGACTAGATGGGTAGGGAGGGGTTAGGTGGACAGTGGACAGGGATGTAGGGGAATGACTAGATGGGTAGGGAGGGGTTAGGTGGACAGTGGACAGGGATGTAGGGGAATGACTAGATGGGTAGGGAGGGGTTAGGTGGACAGTGGACAGGGATGTAGGGGAATGACTAGATGGGTAGGGAGGGGTTAGGTGGACAGTGGACAGGGATGTAGGGGAATGACTAGATGGGTAGGGAGGGGTTAGGTGGACAGTGGACAGGGATGTAGGGGAATGACTAGATGGGTAGGGAGGGGTTAGGTGGACAGTGGACAGGGATGTAGGGGAATGACTAGATGGGTAGGGAGGGGTTAGGTGAGGTAGTGGACAGGTCTTAAGGGGAATAACTAGATGGGTAGGGAGGGGTTAGGTGACAGTAGATAGGGATGTAGGGGAATGACTAGATGGGTAGGGAGGGGTTAGGTGGACAGTGGACAGGGATGTAGGGGAATGACTAGATGGGTAGGGAGGGGTTAGGTGGACAGTGGACAGGGATGTAGGGGAATGACTAGATGGGTAGGGAGGGGTTAGGTGAGGTAGTGGACAGGTCTTAAGGGGAATAACTAGATGGGTAGGGAGGGGTTAGGTGACAGTAGATAGGGATGTAGGGGAATGACTAGATGGGTAGGGAGGGGTTAGGTGGACAGTGGACAGGGATGTAGGGGAATGACTAGATGGGTAGGGAGGGGTTAGGTGAGGTAGTGGACAGGTCTTAAGGGGAATAACTAGATGGGTAGGGAGGGGTTAGGTGACAGTAGATAGGGATGTAGGGGAATGACTAGATGGGTAGGGAGGGGTTAGGTGGACAGTGGACAGGGATGTAGGGGAATGACTAGATGGGTAGGGAGGGGTTAGGTGAGGTAGTGGACAGGTCTTAAGGGGAATAACTAGATGGGTAGGGAGGGGTTAGGTGACAGTAGATAGGGATGTAGGGGAATGACTAGATGGGTAGGGAGGGGTTAGGTGGACAGTGGACAGGGATGTAGGGGAATGACTAGATGGGTAGGGAGGGGTTAGGTGAGGTAGTGGACAGGTCTTAAGGGGAATAACTAGATGGGTAGGGAGGGGTTAGGTGACAGTAGATAGGGATGTAGGGGAATGACTAGATGGGTAGGGAGGGGTTAGGTGGACAGTGGACAGGGATGTAGGGGAATGACTAGATGGGTAGGGAGGGGTTAGGTGGACAGTGGACAGGGATGTAGGGGAATGACTAGATGGGTAGGGAGGGGTTAGGTGGACAGTGGACAGGGATGTAGGGGAATGACTAGATGGGTAGGGAGGGGTTAGGTGGACAGTGGACAGGCATTAAGGGGGATAACTAGATGGGTAGGGAGGGGTTAGGTGGACAGGCCTTAAGGGGAATAACTAGATAGAGAGATGTTTTATAAGTCTGTTTGGTGTAATTGTTGGGGAACGAAGGGGATGGGGTGGGGCTATTGGTTAAAGTAAAACGCTTGGGAATTGTTTTAAAAGATTTCATGTGTTGGTGTAGTGATAGAAAAATGGAGGGGGGGGGGGGGGTGGAGAATGGGTTAAAAATAAACGTTAGTGGGATATTTTAAAAGACAAAATTAATAAAAGGACAAAATTTAGCAGGACATAATGTTTTAAAATGACAAATATAGCATACAGATTAACAGGACAGCAAATAGTATAATAGGACTTAATTAGTAGAACATATTGTAATGTCTAACTTAGGAGAAGTAATATCTGCCAGATATCTCATAGTAACACACGACAGAATAAAAATTAAACAAAAAAAACCGCGAATAAAGCCAATTGCTACAAATATTGGCAAAGAATTTGTGGTGGGAGATCTTTGGGAGGGAAAGATCTTTGGGGGGAAAAGATCTTTGGGAGGAGATGATCTTTGGGAGGGAAAGATCTTTGGGGGGAAAAGATCTTTGGGATGAAAAGATCTTTGGTAGGAAAAGATCTTAAGAAGGAGACATTCACTGGGTTGGCCTTGTATTGGTGTTCTGTTGGCCCTTTGTTGGCTCTTCCCTGGGAAAAGGTGATCACTGGGACAAGACCACCATCCAATTAAAACTCAAACATCGTCTCAACGAAAAATAAAAGAAAAAGCCAAGCATTACCCACGTGAGGACGACACATAAAACCCAAAAAGCCACCCCCCCTGCCATCAAAAAGCCAACCCCCCCCCCCCCATCAAAGCCCCGCCCAGCCCATCACGGAAGACCTGCCTCTAATGATGGACTGTTTACCCTGTGGTCAGCTGGTTTAGATTGAACTGGCCTTTCATGTGCCATTGATGTTATACATAGGCGGCGTATGGTCAAGCACGCAACAAACTTAACACAGTTCATTCTATTGGATTTGAACTGAACTAGATCTGAAATAAGATTTCTAGTTCTACGTGTTAACTGAGTACAAGAGCTCTCTAGCTGCTGTATGTTGCGGAGCCACATTGAAGGATGAGCCAATAAAGGGCCATCAAAGGGCCATCAAAGGGCCAACAGAACGGCTAGATAAGGCCGACACAAGATCACGAGAAGGCCAACACAAATTAGATAGAAAGAAATGTGTAGATAGACAGAACGCCAAAAACTGTACGTGAAGTAGAATTCATCTATGCAAAAAAAAAAAAAAAAAAAAAAAAAACCACTAAAGGTATTATGTATTTTCTTTAAACCTCGGAACTAAGGACAAGATTTATAGGGGATTCGAGGTCAAGTCCTTTGAATCGTTGACTCTACCACTGGACCCGTTAATCCCATCATCCCCACCACTAATCCAAACAAAGGACAGAAAAATAAAATCAGACCCTGGACTCTTTTGGTAGATTTTACTTTCTTAATCCCACAAAGATGTTTTAGTTGGTGTTCTTGGTTAAGGTTACTATAAAGGTCAAGGTTTTATCTTGGTTAAGGTTACTATAAGGGTCAAGGGTTGTATGCGTTATGGTTCAGCAGTTGGGATCAAGAAGCTTGGTTTAGAGTTAGGTTTAACCGACTCTACACGCGATTTATGATCAAGTAGAGCGGATAAACGTGTTGCCGTGTTAAAAAATCAAACACCGATTACGTGGGGGCCGGAACTAGTCATCCCCGGAAGATTACCGTCAAACAGATCATAGACCGGGTCTAAACGATATCGATTAGCGGTATCGATCCTGTCTTGCCGGTGAAAATATTGTGGACAAGTCACCTCTTTCCCCTGATTCGATTATCTGGATCAGGCTTGGTTAAGTTACGCCCAGTGAGATCAAATGCGGAATGGGAAATTTCCGATTCGGATAAATTTAACAGACAGGACTTCTAGGAAAGTAATTCGTTTTTAAGAGAATGTAATCAGGTGGGTTTTGATGAGTTAAATGCAAGTAAGGTCGTCTTGTGATGGTCTTTTTGTGATGGTCATTACGTTCGGTAATTTTTTGGACTATATAAATAGGCGTGCGCTTTGTGACGTCATTTCATGACGTAATTTCGAGTTATTTCGTGATGGGAGTTTCCTATGTTTTAAGGGTTTGAGTTAATGATTAGGTTAGTTTCAAGGGTCATGCTGGTAG